TAAGAAATTTTTTAGTATTAGAATTTTTGTATGGTAACATTTGGAATTTTGGGCACTGGTGGAGTGTAGAGATGGAAGTGGATTTTGGTTGATGTCGGAATTCTTGTGAATTTTTATTAGCTAATTACTTGCTGGAACCGTTCATGTGTTACTGTTCACACATTACTGTTCATGCACTAATTATTGTTCACGCACTATATTTTAATTTCTCTCAATAGGAAGTTTTATGAAATATGTAAGTTGTGTATGTGGATATTAGTATGAACTTGAATTGTCCATGCCACCGATTAATAAGAACATTAAATGGAATAATATTTTAATATTATTTTGCATATGTTCTAAACTTGTTGGACATGTATATGTGTTTATTATAACACACCTCCCTAAGCACTTTTAGTTTTAAAAAAGTTCGGAAATAAGATTTATAATAAAGAATTGCAGCAAAAATAAAAACACTTTTGAAAAAAGAAGATCATAAATACCTATAAAGGAAAACCACTTTAACGAGTCAATATATATATATTGAAAAAATACCAAAATATTCAAAGTTATAAAATAAGCCAAGCTAAGCTGATTTATAATTAATTTAAAGATTTTATACATAAAGGTAATTTACACAAAAATTATATGAGGCAAATTCTTCTCCAAAGCTTTTCAAAAAAACAAAAGCTGAGTCATTGTTTTTGTAATACATCGATCTGCCTCCCTATCGAAAACCTGAGGCCCTAGCTTGTACATACAACGAGCATGCGAGTCCCGTGTGAAAAGCTCCTAAACCGAGAGGCTGCTACCTCGATTTATTTATCTGAAATTGGGGGGAATTTTATGAGCTAACAGCCTAGTAAGTAATAAGTTTAAGTTATAAACTTGGGTCATAAGACCTTTAGACTTATCCACACAAAGAGCATAAGACACAACGGAATCAAATGACATAATATTATAATTCCTACTATTTAAATAATAACTTAATATCTCAAATCATAAGCACAAATGTCAAGGAATAATCAATGACATTTAAATTAAATTCATATAATAAAATCATATGCTCACAAATACGGTATCACAAGCGTAATGCATAAAATTGAAAATCACACAATGCTATGGAGTCCATTGAGATGTGCTAGCAACACTGTACCAGAACTAATCACAGTACTAACCCTATTGTGCAGAGATCCACTAAATACCCCAAAGGGTCCACTGAATACTCCAAGCTTTAAGTTTAGGTCCACTTACTCCATAACTACAAACACATACGCATGTCAAACAAATTCATAATATGTCCAACATAATATTAGGACTTCCTATTGAAAGAGATCAAAGTATAATGCGTGAACAGTAATCGTGAACAGTGATTTGTAAACAGTACAGTTTAATTATAATTTCGGCAAATAAAAATTCACACCGAAATCAAACAATAAAAAGGAATAACTCACTATCTTTCCCATATAAGCCCCAAAATTAAAGATATTTCTAATGAAATTTTAATACTCAAAAATCTTATAAACCAAAGGATTAGAGTCAAATCTCACCAATTTAAACTACCCAAAACTCTAACCCAAAATTCATAAATAAAACTTTTACTTATCTAACAAAAAGCACCTTAACCTTGGTTGGAGAAAGAAGGAAGAAAAGGATGTAAGTGGGATGGCTGTAAAACGTAGGAAAACAAAATGGGGACTTTTGGGAGCCTTCTGGAGGCTTATCCAAGTTTCCACCGACAAAGAAAAAAAACTTGGTTGGGACAATGCCATGTGGTAAGCAAAATTGGGAGAATTGAGTTATGGTCATTCAACTTCTACTAAGTTTTACTTAAAACCCCCAAACTTTAAATTCAATCAATTTAATCCCTAAAACTATAAACTAAAGGACATTAATTTTTAAATTATTCACTAAGATATGTGGGGTGTTACATTTATGGCTATGGAGTAAGTGGATCTCAGTTCAAAGGTTGGGGTATTCAATGGAACCTTCGGGGTATTTAGTAAACCTCTGCGCAGTAGAATTAGTATTGTGATTAACTCTGGTATAATGTTGCTAGCACACGTCAGTGAACTCCATAATATTGTATGATTTTCGTTTTATGCATTGTGCTTGTGACATCATGTTTGTGAGTATATGATTTTATTATATGAATTTAATTTAAATGTCATTGATATTCCTTGACATGTGTGATTGTGATTTGAAATATTAAGTTATTATTTAAATACTAAGAATCATAATATTATGTGGTTTGATTCCGTTGTATCTCATGCTCTTTGTATGTATAGGTCTAAGGGTGTAACACTCCACATACCTTAGTGAATAATTTAAAAATTAGAGTCCTTTAATTTATTTTTTTAGGAATTGAATTTAAAGTTTTGGGGTTTTAAATAGAACTTAGTAAGAGTTGAATGACCTTAACTCAATTATTCCAATTTTTATTACCTCATGGCATTATACCAACCAAGTTTTTTTCCTTGTCGGTTGGACTTGGATAAGCCTTCAGAAGGCTCCCAAAAGCCCCATTTTTTTTTCCTATGCCATCCTCTTCCACCTGCATCTTTCTTTCTTCTATCTTCAGCTAAGGTTAAGGTGTTTTTTTAGGTAAGTATAAGTTTTTGTTATGAATTTGAGGTTAGAGTTTTAAGTAGTTTAAATTGGTGAGATTTGACCAAAATCCTTTGGTTTATAAGATTTTTGGACATTAAAATTTTATTAGAAATATCTTTAATTTTTGGGGCTTGTACGAGATGGATAATAAGTCATTTTCCTTTTTCTATACTTGATTTGGTGTGAATTTTATTGATTAGTACTACTATTATTGCTTGTATGCCTTGTGTGTTAGAATTTATATAATCAATTGGTCCTTGAAACTGTGCATGAGCTTGGAAGCAGATTGCTACTTTTAATTACTGTTCACGTAAATACTAGTCACATGTTGCTATTCCTATATTACTATTTACGGGTTATTGTTCATGGATTACTTTCATGGATTACTATTCACACACTAATTACTATTCATGTAATGTACTTTAATTTCTTTCTATATGAAATTCTATGGAATATGTAAGTTGTGTATATGAATATTAGTATGAACTTGAATTGTCCATGTGAATGGAAATATTAAATAGGATAATATTCTAATATTATTTTGGATATGTTATAAACTTGTTTAACATGTGTATGTGCTAGTGGTTATGGAGTAAGTGAACCTAAGCTTAAAGCTTGGGGTATCCAATAAACCCTTCGGGGAATCAGTGGACATCTACGCAGTAGGATTAGTACTGTGATTAGCTCCGGTACAGTATTGCTAGCACACATTAGTGGACTCCATAGCATTGTGTAATTTTCGATTTTTTGCATTGCACTTGTGACATCATATTTGTGAGCATATGATTTTAGTATATGAATTTAATTTAAATGTCATTGATTATTCCTTGACATGTGTGATTATGATTTGAGATATTAAGTTATTATTTAAATAATGAGAATTATAATATTATATGGTTTGATTACGTTGTATCTCATGCTTTTTGTGTGTATATGTCTAGAGGTCGTAGGATCTAAATTTATAGTTTAAACTTATTATTTACTGGGCTTTTAGCTCATAAAATCCTCCCCCCCCCCCCATTTCAGATCAATAGATCAAGATAGCAGCCTCTTAGTTTGACAGTTTTTGGCATGGGACTCATATGTTCGTTGTATGTATAAGGTAGGGCCTCGTGTTTTTTATAGAAAGGTAGATCGATATGTTACCAAAACAATGACTCAGTTTTTGTTCTTTTGAAAAACTTTGGAGAAGAATTTACCTCTTATAATTTTTGTTTAAATTACTTTTATGTATAAAATCTTTAAATTAATTATAAATGAGTTTAGCTTAGCTTATTTAATAACTTTAAATATTTTGGCTTTTTTCCCAATATATATCAATATTTTTTTGTTAAAGTGGTTTTTCTTTATAGATATTTATAATCTTCTCTTTTCAAAATGTAAATTGATTTTCTGAATATAGGCTTTCTTTTGAAAAAACATTTTATATTAGAAGTGTTTTTAGTTTCGCTGTAATTCTTTACTATAAATCTTATTTCCAAACTCTTTTAGGACTAAAAGTGCTTAGGGAGGTGTGTTATAAGGGGTTTTAAGATCCAAGTTTATAGCTTAAATTTAATACTTATTGGAGTTTTAGCTCATAAAATTTCTCATTTCAGATCCGTAGATTGGAGTAGTAATCACCAATTGGGGAGTTTCGGTAGAGGTCCCGTATACTCATCGTACATAGAAGATAAAACCTCATGCTTTTAATATGGAGGCGGATCAATGTGTTACCAAAACAACAATTTGGCTTTTGATATTTTGAAAAGCTTTTGAGAAGAATTTACCTTCATATGATTTTGTGTAAATTAATTTTATGTATATAATATTTAAATTAATTAAATGAGCTTAGCCCAACTTATTTATAACCTTGAGTATTTTGACATTTCTTTAAGACATTTCTTTAAGACATTTCTAGTTAAAGTAATTTTCCTTTACAAGTATTTGATTTTCTCTCTGTAAAATTTTAAATTGATTTAAAAGCAAGTTTTTTTTTTAAGGAAATATTTTATAATAGAAGTATTTCTACTTCCGCTGTAATCTTTTACTATAATTCTATTTTCTGGACTCCTCTGGAATTAAGGATACCTAGGGGAGGTGTGTCAGATCTTTTCCCCTAACATTTTCTTTTTCTTGGTAAATGGATTTAGATTCAAGATAGAATTTTGAAAATAGTAATGAGTGTGAGGTGGAGGAAGAAAATAGTGATAAGAATGAGATGGAGAAGGAAGCAATAAAAAAAAGAGGGAGGTAGAAGTTAGATGAAAAAAAATAATGTTTTTTATTCTCTTATTTCATTTGATACTTCAATATT